TGCGGCTGCGGCGCTTTCGGCGGCACAGCGGCCGGGTCGGGCTTGCCGGGAGTGGCCATCGCGACGAGGTCACGGGAATATCGCGGTGTCCGGGGCGACGGCAAGGGTGTTGGCGGCGGTGAGACCGAGACGACTGCGTGAAGGCTTTTTACTCTTCTCTCCTTCGCATGGCTTTAACGCTCACCGTTCATTTTTTTTTCTTTTTTCTTTTTCCTTTTTGAGAATTCGCTCGCCGTTCATCATGGTTGATTTTGGATGGTGAAACCAAAGATAGCCAACGGGTCGAGCCGGGCCGTGAGCTAGGCACGGCGGCCCAGCTCGCCTGTAAACGGGCCTGGCACGGCACAGCATATGGAAGATTCGTTTATAAGCTGGTTGTGTCATGCCCACCTCGTCTTTGTGACGGGCATGATAGATTAACTAAACATGCCGATCTAGGGGCCCGTGTGGCCTTACGGGTTGTGGGACTTTTTTTGTCAATATCTTTTATTCATGTCTAGGCTCTGGTTAAAGATAAAAACTCAATGTCTTACTTGTGTTGTATTGATTTGGGATGAAGTACAAACTATAGATGATCCATCATAAAATCGTTGTGTGTAGCCTACAAGCCCTACCCCGGTTTATATAGGTATGGGGGGAGGGGGTGTTTGGGGCTACAACCTAGTCGGTTACGTATTAAGGAGAACATGCTGTAAATGATCTCTAAACATTTTAGAGTATACGTCAAGTCTTCGGGAGGCTTCCTTCTGTACGCCATGGGGCCACCTTGATGTGGCCCACTGGCGAATCGACATGAGGGTCCTCGGGCCGACCCATCAGGCCGGGAATCGACTTGGTGAATGACCCCAATGTGATACACAGTCACACATAGATAATAAGACCATGCTTTGTATATCTAGTAACATTTGTGTACCAACTTGCAGTGACTAAGTCATGTAAGACTATCACCATCACATCAATAAAGGAGTGAGCATGTTTTTCATTATTGATCCACACTTGGAACTTAAATCTATGTCTATTTGCAATGTGACCTCAATACTAGGGTCTTCATTTGTGGCAACAATAAACTTTTTAGCACAAATATTCTTGCAGAGCAAGGAATGTGCTGCGGGAAGTAATATCAAAACATATATTCCTTAGGACATTATTTGTTTCACAAATTGTGCAGAAATTGGGATAGATAATATGTTCTTGAAAAGAAAGAAATAGTAAGAAATATTTTATTTGCCATCCCAATATTAAGAGATCATGTGTCATTGAAAGGACAAAAATATTAACAAATAATTTATTGATTTCCACAAAATGTGTTATGCCAATACTAAGAGATAATTTTTTACCAAATATGAGCATTATTTCATATGCTAATATATCATTGTGTGAAAGGGAAATGTAGAAATATTTTTTTCTAATTTTATCTTGTTGTGCAAATATGAGTGTTATGGGAAGAACATTACATCAATAGTTTTCCTAATATAGCAAGAATTTCCTATTTTACGTCAATAGTGTGCATGGTACCTTTTATCCAAATGTAGCAATAGTATATTGGGAATATTTGTGGGCGCCTCTCTCACCTCCGGTGAAGATGTTGGTGGCGAGGAGGAAGGGGAAGACGCAGCGCATGATGGCCCCCTTCACCGGTGGCTGCGGCGCTTTCGGCGGCACAGCGGCCGGGTCGGGCTTGCCGGGAGTTGCCATCGCGACGAGGTCACGGGAATATCGCGGTGGCCGGGGCGACGGCAAGGGTGTTGGCGGCGGTGAGACCGAGACGACTGCGTGAAGGCTTTTTACTCTTCTCTCCTTTGCATGGCTTTAACGCTCGTCATTCATCTTTTTTTTCTTTTTTCTTTTTTCTTTTTGAGAATTCGCTCGCCGTTCATCATGGTTGATTTTGGATGGGTGAAACCAAAGATAGCTAACGGGTTGAGCCGGGCCGTGAGCTAGGCACAGTGGCCCAGCTCGTCCGTAAACGGGCCTGGCACGGCATAGCATGTGGAAGATTCGTTTATAAGCTGGTTGTGTCATGCCCGCATGTGGGCTTCGTATTTGTGGCGGGCATGATAGATTAACTAAACAGGCCGATCTAGGGCCCCGTGTGGCCTTACAGGTTATGGGACTTTTTTTGCCAATGTCTTTTATTCATGCCTGGGCTCTCGTTAAAGATAAAAACTCAATGTGTTACTTGTGCTGTATTGATTTGGGATGAAGTACAAACTATAGATGATCTACCATAAAATCGTTGTGTGTAGCCTCAAGCCCTACCCCGGTTTATATAGGTATTGGGGGGTGTCTGGGGCTACAACCTAGTTGGTTACGTATTAAGGAGAACATGCTGTAAATGATCGCTAAACATTTTAGAGTATACGCCAAGTCTTCGGGAGGCTTCCTTCTGTACGCCATGGGGCCACCTTGACGTGGCCCACTGGCGAATCGACATGGGGGTCCTCAGGCCGACCCATCAGGCCGGGAATCGACTTGGTGAGTGACCCCAATGTGGTACACAGTCACACATAGATAATAAGACCATGCTTTGTATATCCAATAACATTTGTGTACCAACTTGTAGTGAGTAAGTCATGTAAGACTATCCCCATCCCATCAATAAAGGAGTGAACATGTTTTTCATTATTGATCCACACTCGAAACTTAAATCTATGTCTATTTGCAATGTGACCTCAATACTAGGGTCTTCATTTGTGGCAACACTAAACTTTTTAGCACAAATATTCTTGTAGAGCAAGGGATGTGCTGCGGGAAGTAATATCAAAACATATATTCCTTAGGACATTATTTGTTTCACAAATTGTGCAGAAATTGGGATAGATAATATGTTCTTAAAAAGAAAGAAATAGTAATAAATGTTTCATTTGACATCCCAATATTAAGAGATCATGTGTCATTGAAATGACAAAAATATTAACAAATAATTTATTGATTTCCACAAAATGTGTTATGCTAATACTAAGAGATATATTTTTACCAAATATGAGCATTATTTCATATGCTAATATATCATTGTGTGAAAGGGAAGTGTAGAAATATTTTTTTTCTAATTTTATCTTGTTGTGCAAATATGCGTGTTATGGGAAGAACATTACATCAATAGTTTTCCTAATATAGCAAGAATTTCCTATTTTACGTCAATAGTGTGCATGGTACCTTTTATCCAAATGTAGCAATAGTATATTGGGAATATTTGTTGAGTAACCAATATTTCAAATTTGCACTAAAGTAAAAGTATGTAGTTCTCAATCAATCATCAGATGTTTAATTTCACATCAATTGCATTACATCCAGATTAGTAGTAAGAAAAAATTGTCCACAACTTGTTCAAAAACCCTAACCCTCTAGCGCAGAGAGAGGCGATTCTGTGAACATGTTGTGTGAAGTCTGAAGCTCTCTACTAGGGTGAGAATGAAGGAATCGCCCATCTCTATGTGGACGCAAGAACCTAAAGTGTCCTCACACTTTGGGCAGTACGAATGAAATCCCTTGAAATAGAATGAGGAAAAATGCATGCACGACGATTGCTGCTGGGGGGTTACCGACGACAGGTGGGCTGCGAACTATAAGAGATGGATGAAGATTTCACTTACCTAGTTCTCCATAAGAAAATCCAATAGGTCAGATGGTGGGTGGACTGCGAGCAACACTGGCAACAGTCGGTGCCGATAGGCGGCAGTGAGTGGCAGAGGCAAAAGGCGGTGGGTGGCGTTTCCCCGTGGCTACAACCTGCGACGTGATTCGCCGAGAGCTTAGGGGTTTGGGCAGAGTTGTGAATGAGGAGACGAGTGAAGTGAGGTGTAGTGGGAGTGAAGAAGAAGGGGAGTGGGGGTGAGGGTTTTCTCAAGGTGATGGGACTTAGCGTAAGGTGATGGCCCACATGTCAGCAAGCTTAATGGGTGGCCCCTTTGTTATCGAGCATAAGGTGCAACCCCTTTTTCAGCGCATAAGGTATGACCCACCTGCGAGCGACCGAAATGAAGCAAAAAATAGAAGCCAAAAAAGTGTTGTCGGGGGCTCGAACCTGGTACCTATGAGTGTTGTGTGTGTGTGTGTGTGTCTAGTGTAGTAAGACTAGGACACTGAATAATGAGCAGTGCAGTGGACTGTGTAGTTTCATGTTCAATGTGCAAGATTTCATACTAGAGTTGAAAATGTGCAACGAAGTTAGAGCATCTCCAGCCGTTTGCCCCCCAAGGGCGTTTTAAGGCGGGAAAGAGCGCCCCTTGGG